CTGGCACAGGAGACCCAGGGGACATCATCTATCTGAGCAACTCACATCGTTAAAGACTTTGTCCAGCTCCTTGGGGTCCAGGATGAACTTTGGGTAGCCGATCATGTTGTAGATGGCATCCGCCTGAGGTGACAAGGACGGAGGTGCTTTTGGTGCCAGGGTGGGAGGACAGGATGGCCTCCCCGCTGCTGCCACCGGCGCCTCACCTTCTCTTTGGCCGACTTCCTCGTCTCCTCGTCCATCCACTGCAGGGTCTCCAGGCTTTCCTCGAAGGCTGTTTTAATCTCTGCAATCATTTCCTCTGCCTAGACAAAAGAAAGCAGAGTGTTTTGGCCTGGAGAGCTGACTTGCCATTCAAACAAGTCCAAGGACTGACACAGAACCCTTCGCATAGAGGGGAGGAAGGCTGGGATAACCCAGCTTTCCCAGCACCAGGGCTCCACGCTGCCTGTGGCACGCACCACCTGCTTGCTGTCCTCGGCGAAGGTAGCCTTGACAAACATGGCCCCCAAGGCAAAGCCCAGGTTGTTGTCTGTGTCGCTGATGCAGAACTTCCAGCGCGGCAGGCAGGTCTGCAAGGGCGACAGGGAGCCATGAGTGGAGGCACAGCATGGCCACAGCCCCCCAGCCTTCACACCACGACATCAGCTCTGCACCCATCACCTATCAGAGATGTGACCCCAGAACCCACCCCACGTCCGTGCTTGGATGCAATGAGAGGGGAACTTTGCTAAAACGTGCCGTCACTGTTTTGTAGGAGCGCAATTACTTGGAGGCATTGGTACTCACCTTCTTCGTCCCATACATCACTTCCATGAACTTCTCCTCAGCATCCTGGAAGCGCTGGTCAAGGAAGGGGCTGGTTTTACGCACCAGGTTCCAGATCATGTAGTTGTTGAGGAGGCTGTGGCAAGAGGCAGTGAGCGGGGAGCAGGACGAACCCCAAGCACCCCTCCATGTGGGGGGGGGCTCTCACCATTTATCAGTGGCCAGGATGAGATCGGAGACCTGCTCCAGGTACTCCTTGGCATAGACCACGACGGGCTCTGACTCATTGAGTTCCACAGGATAGAAGACCGTGGAGAGGAAGGGCATCCAGTCTACAGCCGGTGCCAGATCCTGCAAAAGCCATGCTGCTGCTACGGACTTATGAGCTATCAGCAATGGTAGCCTCTTCCCAAGCTGGTGGCTGTTACATCAGCTCTGTTTGATGGATTTGGCTGATTTTGAAGAAACCATTTCCCATAGCAGCAGCATCCTCCGAAGGTCGGAGGGGACTAAACAATTTCCTCCCACAAAGGAAAAGAAAGCCAGGCGGGTGTGAAAATGCTGACAGCGGAGTGGGGGGAAGGCACATGATGGCCCTTTGGGGACGAGGGGAGGTGGTTGGGCTGACGTCTGCAGGGCAGTGCAGCCAGGAGGGCGTTTGCGCCTCAGTGGGATGGCTGCCAGTCCCATCAGCACTCTGGGGTCTGGGAGGAGTGGGCTGGGGTGGGAGAACAGGCCAAGCTATTGCACAAGTGCTTCCCAGTTTGGGCTGGTGTTGGCCTTCCCTGGAGGAGCTGTGTCAGCCCTCCACCAGCCCTGCTCCAAGCTGCAGTGACACGTCAGCCCCACCATGCTCCTACCTTCAGCTCTCCAGCTGTCATCTTGTGGTAGATGACCTCCTCATCCCGATGTTTCTCCTGTGGGATGGTGATGTTGGCCAGTGCTGTCTCAAACTCCAAGATCTGCTGCATTTGTTGCCGTGTTGACTCTTCGTCGGTGCCGCCCAGAAACATGCCCAGCTGCACCATGTAGTTCAGGTACCCAGCCAGCACCTGTGAGGGGACGATGCGTCACCCAAAGCTACATGTGGCCAGAGCACCCAACAACCCCAACCCTCCCAACCCTTCCAGTCCTTCCAATCCTCCCAATCTTCCCAACCCTCCCAACCCTTCCAGATCTTCCAACCGTTCCAGACATCCCAGCTCTCCCAACCCTTCCAACCAACCTAACTCTCCCAGTCACTCCTATTCTTCCTACCCCACTACCACCCTGACCTTCTCATTCTCTGTCTTGTTCAGGTAGTAGTCCCGTGACGGCAGCCCCAGCCCCGACTGGTCCACCTGGATGACGTTGCTGTTGGAGTTCTTGGAGTCGGCGCTGACGTAGACGGAGAAGAAGGGTGAGATGCGGTAATGCGCCGTCACCTCCCGCAGCGTCGCGTTGAAGTTGTCCCCCCCGGCCCAGGGCCCGGTGATGTTCCATCCTCCCAGCTGGGGAGAGACGCTCGGTGAGGCACAGCAGTGCGGGGATGTGTGACCAGGACCTGGCGGATGGCAGGGCAGCTCCTGGTGCCCGCGCCGCAGGGAGGGACGCACCTTGGCGATGAGCTCCATCAGCGGGGCGGCGCGCAGCTCCTCGATCTTGCTCTCGTTCATGCAGGCCTGGTAGTAGCGCTGCGCCTTGCGCTCTGCCTCGCTCGACACGTTGGCCGTGGTGTTCTCTGCAGGATGCACCCAGGACGGCTTGTGGGGGCACGTGGCATCGGGGGGGGCTGCAGAGCCCCTAACCCTCCGCCAAATGCTCAGTTTGGACAACAGCTCCAAAAAGACACTATGGATCACTCCGTGTGCCCCTGGCACGTCCCACGGCCCCAGCCCAGCCCCTGCCCCCTCTCCAGCAGCTCCAGTTCTTTGTAAGAGAGAGATAAAGAAAGAAAAACAACAAGTATTTTTCCAGCACTCCGCCGTTCCCAGCATCCCAGCCCCCCGCGCTGCCCTTGCCCCTGTGCTGGCAGTCCCAGCTTGCTCCCCGGGCTGCGTTATTTATTTCTACAAGAAAGAACAATAAACCCATTTTTCTCCTCCGCCTCCAAAGCTATCTTTTATTTTCTTTCCCTAAAACCCTGCTTCCTTGGGGTTTTTCCTCTCCTCACAACACAGCCTGCACCTCTGGCTCCCCAGATGTGTGGGTTTTTGTGCCTGGTCCCTTGGCTCCGAGGAATGCGAGGAAATGCTGAGCGCAGCTGCTGGCCGGGGGCCCACTGCCTTCAGATTGCTGCAGGAAGAGCTGGGACAGAGCCGTCCCCAGAAGGCAGCTCTGCTCACAGATAACCACCCCAGCGCCTGGCGCGGAGGAAAGTGCTGATAAGGGGCACTTGTTTGCTCAGAGCTTGAACAAACCGTCCCCTGGATAAGGCACTGCACTGCAGTGTTTGCATGCAGAGGCAGCGCCCAGGGCCCGTCCCCAGAACAGCCGCACTGGGAGCAGCCCCACTGCAAAGAGCTGCCAAAGACAGCCCCATGCTCACCCAGCAGGTGCTTCATGACAGCCTGGTTGTGCTCCCAGAGGTTGTTGAAGGTGCCCCAGCGTGAGTGGCCATCAGGGAGGGGGTTGGCTTTGACCCAACCGCCGCAGGCATAGCTGAAGAAGTCCTCGCAGGGGTTCACCGTGCGGTCCAGGGAGCTGAGGATGGAGCTGGTGACAGAGATGCAGGCCTCTGACAAGCACACGGCAGACGGCCCTGGGGGGCACAACTAGCTCAGCACAAGGAGCCCCTGGCTGCACCAGAGGGCACCCGCTGCTCACCCAGCATCCTATCAGTTCTGTCCATGATGTGGGGAAGCATCCCCATGCACGAGCATCCCACCCAAGCAAGGCATGTGGGCAGGAACCCCATCCTGCACCTGAGCATTCCACCCCGGATGATGGACAGAGAGAGCGTCCCGTCCCATACCCAAGCAGCCTGCCTGCTCTCAATCCCACCCCAGAGCAAGGGATGCAGCCAGAAATGTGCCCAAGCATCCTGCCCAGTGGGGCTGGGGCTAGGGATGCAGGCGAGCACCCCGCCCAATGCCCAAGCACCTCGCCCTGGGGTGCTGGACCTGAGCACCTTATCTTGTACCCAATTATCCTATCTGCTGCTCCACCATCACTCTCTGGGGTGAAAGATCCTGTCCCATCAGAGAATCCTGCCCTGGGGTAAGGGATGCAGATGAGCATCCCATATTGTGCCCGAGCATCTCATTGAGCTGCAAGTTCCCTGCCTGGTACGCAGGAATCTCACCCCAAGACAAGCACTCCAACCCCCTCTTGCTCCCAGAATCCCCCTTTTGCCCCCTAGCACCCCTCCCAAGGGGTTGCAGCACAGGACTCACGGGCTCGGTACTGCAGGATGAGCCCCAGCAGACACGCTCCCAGCACGGCTGCCAGGAGAGCCACCACAGCCACCAGCTGCTTCTCGGGGCGTGTGCGCTGGGCCCAGCACCCCGTGCTGCTCCTGGAGAAATTCACCTGCGGGAAAAGCAGTGCCGTTTCCCCGTCGGCACCACGTGGGGAAAACCCCACGGGCGCATCCGCCATCCTCCCCTTAACAAACCCCGCAGCACCGAGCAGCCCCCAGACAGGGAGTGGGCGCATTCCAGCCTGGGAAAAGCCGCAGCTGCCTTCCAGAAAGCCGCCAGGAAGGGCGGCACAATGGCAGGAAAGGGAGCGGGGAGAGCGCGGCCACGGCCATAGGATCACCTGCCGCCCTGTGCCACCCCACGGCCACGGCCAGCCCGGCGGTCCCGGCGCTGGGTGGAATGGGATCCTCCCGTTGTGCCCAACAACATCCCCAGGAAGCACGGCCGATGTGACGGTGTGGGGAATCGTGGGGACGAAAACACTGATTTTGGGGTTGGAAACATTGCTGTGGGCTGAGGTGGAAAGCGCCGTGCCAGGAGCACAGTTCCGACCCTGAACCTTTCCCTGTGAGAGCCCTTCTCCTGCCGCCAACTGCCCTCATTAAGCTGCTTTCCCACTGCTCGAGGAGGAATTAGCCTAAAATCCCCTTTGTGTGGGGACAAAGTTCCCTCCCGCGGTAATTGCCCACCCTGCTGGGCCAGGATGGGTCCACAGCACCACGGGAATGGCTGAGGTGGACCTGACCCCGTGGGATGGATATCTCACGGGATGGGCATCCCACATGACGGACGATGTCCCAAGGAATGGTTACCCCGTGATGGATGGATGCCCCATGGGATGGATGCCCTACAGGATGGCTCCCCCAGGGAATGGATGTCCCACGCGATGCCCCACAAGCCCAGAGGCGCAGCCCCACTGGTGCCAGCGGGGACGGGAGCAAAGGGCGGAGAGTGCAGCGAGGCGGCAACGGACTTCGTCCTGCAGGGGGGGGTCTCACCCAGCCCGGGGAACGCGGCCTCCCGCTGCCGGGACCCCAATCTTCCCCTTTTCCCCAAAGCCGGTCCCTACCTGGAACCCGTTGGGGTACCCATCGCCTTCGCTGATGGAATCCAGGGGGTCTTCGTCGTCCAGCGTAGCCCGCTTGTAGGTGGACATCTGCGGGGCGGTGGAAGCGCGGCGTTGAGCGGCGGAGAGCAGCGCTCGTCCCCGGGACCCCCTCGGATCGCGGAGCCCCGCACAGCTCCGGGGCAGCGCCGCACCGCTCCCGCGGGGCCGCTCCGCGCAACCGCCGCTGCGCCCCGCACGGCGCTTCTCCCCCCGCCCCGCACGGCGCAGAGCCCACGCGGGGCTCGGTAGCAGAGCCCGCTCCCCCCCCCTCGCTTCGCACCGCCGCCCCCACCCCGCGCGTGAATCCGGACCCGGGGATGGGGAGCAGCTGCGGGCAGCCCCTCACCGCGCCCTCGGGGTGAGACCGCCGCCATTTCGCCGCCATCGCGGCGCCGCCCGCCCCAGTCCCCCCCCTCCACCCCCCGGTACCCGCACGGCCGGGGACCCCCCCGCACCCACGGGTGCTCCCCGTTCATCGCGATGCCCGGAAGGTCGGAGGGAAGGGAGGGAGGAGGGGGTAATTAGCGCTGATGA